CCGAGATCTGATCTTTCGTAGTCTGACGACGACTTGATCCTTTTCAATCGATCAACCATTTGGGGAGCAGGGAGCCCCTAGGCCAGATCTGCTGGAATTTTTCGTCTGCTTAGCTCACCTCTCAGGCTTAGCAAATACAGTACTCTGTACAATTTTGTAACCGAGCTGGTCTTAGAGTTTGTGACATGGAATGCTTTGTCTTGTTTGGTGTCCGCGGTTGCTTTCCTGCCTCGTTCCCTCTCGATTAGGACTGAAACCTGTGAATCATGGGACATCTCTGAACGAGGCATCAGAGTCAGGAACCTAGTCTTACCTGATTGGTGCCTCCCGGCTGACCTTAGACACAGTTCGCTGGTTCCCCCTCAGCACAGCAGTCACCCTAGAGTCAGGATTGTGATTGAATTGCCTTATCTGCTATGGTTGCTGTTAGTATGGAGTGAAATCAGAACTAGATGTTTCTGTTTATTATGATGTGCATACACCTGACCTGAACACAATCAAGATGGTCTTGTCTTGCGTGTGCCTCACATTTTCTTTTCACTTGTTCCTAAAATGTACCATTAGGGCACTCACAATGCACTGCATCTTAAACTGTATACTGTTGCTTTTAATAGAGGTATTGATGCATCTTTCTCAATGGGTTATATCTTTGTGCGTGCTGTATTTAGAAGCTTCTGTTTTGTTGCATATAATCAGTAGTAACATTTTATTCTTGTGGCCAACTTGTGGAGCATGGAAAATACAAGAGATAGGTTGAACTACTGCCAAGTTTGCTAATACACAGTTCTGTGCAATAAACAATAGAAACAAACGATTGGCAGGCACAACATCTCACCGGCGGTTCATTGAACACTCATTTGCATAGAGAAAAAAGCTTACTGCTGAATAAACAGAAGCAAACAGGCACTGCATTCAAATCCCACATTTGTACTGTCATTACGGTGAGGAACATGTAACCTGTAAAGCAAAAGACAGGTACTACAGAGTGCCGAGATTACCTCTACTATTGTTATACACTGCATTATATCACTCAAGGGTAGTATCACATAAGCTTGCTTAGTGTTTGCCCGAAAGCTGCTCCATGTCTCTGACTCTCCCAACCGGACCTGAACAAAAGTAACACCTTAAACTGAGCACGCAGCAAGTGATGATGATGTTGCCTTCCCTGGAGACAGCCAATGGCGAAGGAACCCGTGGCCGGTGTTGCCGCAGGCCGTGCAGATTCGGTGGAGGAGTGACCTCCGATGCCAGAGTAGGTAGCTGTCTGAGGGCAGTGGCGGTGTCTCCCTGTCGGTTAGTGCAACAGGAAGAAACTAGGCAGAGAACAATCACTGAATTTGTAAGGGAACATGGGCAAGGTTAGAGGAAGAAATATGACAAACAGGGACTTCATTTTGGAGGCAGAGGCGTGGTGGATCCGTTCAGCACTAAAGTGACCTACATATGCATTGGTTTTCCATTTTAGTCGTATATTTTGTAAGACACAGGTACCCTGTCTCTCTTCTTTACCTTCCACATCAGATTCAATCCTATGTGGCATCATCAAGATATTCCTGATGGTGGAGCATTGGAAGTGCTCTTAGACTGCAGTTTCTAGATAGAGAAGTCTGTGTACAGTGTAATAGTGTTAGTAAAGCCGTCATTTAGGGGTTAATAATAAATCACTCATAACTGTATATGTTACACATTTGGGAAATCTGCCGTGCTTTCGTTACCCCCGTGAACATGTCTTAGGGTTCACTTTACAACCCTCTGTTTTGGTTCGAGTTTCACCCCCAAACTCCAAAAGCTGTTTGCAATAACAACCTTCACAGGATTTAACCGGTTCTATAGATGTATGAATCAGAGTGTGCTTCCCCTGCTGATAATTTGATGCTAGTTCTGATTTGCCATACCTTTGTTTCAGTCTGATGTTACTGATACTAGTTATGTGTGTGCCTTACTAGTTATGTATGCCTTAACCTTATCTTTTGTGTCTGGTGCCCTGCCATCTTTGAAGTTAGGACATGGATGTAGGTGCCCCTATGTATCAAAAATTGTGTATTGAAACCAAGAATGGTCATATAGCGAAGTGGATATCGCGTTAGATTCCGAATCTATAGGTCGTGGGTTCGAATCCCACTATGATCAATTTGCCTTGGGTTTTTTGTAGAGGAAATTTCGTCCTGGCTCTTGTTTTTGTTTCTTGTGTTTTTCAGCAGACAGTGACGTAGTGGCAGCGCCCACAAGGTATTCAAGGTTCTTGTGAACATGATTGGTCCCAAGACCCCAGCTTCCTGCCAAGAGGATTGTCACAGAGTGCAGAATTTTGACAGTGATCATGCCTCCCTGTCTAACCAGTTTTACCCCCGAATGGCTTATCCATTTCCGTCATGTAACCCTCTGGTGAATGTTGCTGTAATTTGTCCTACTTGTCGGGGATGGGACCATTCCATCCAAGGGAAGACTTGGTTGGCAATGGCCATCATTATCCAGAACATGTGGTGAAGGTGTTGTTTGTTTATGAAGTCGTAGTTCAGTTGGTTTTGTGTATTGTTATGCAAATAGATTGGAATTGGTTTTAACGAAGTTAAGTTAGCATTTCCGTAAAGAAGTTGTATGTAACGTAGATTGTCTCTGAATCAACTTTGTTCCCAAAAAAAATAGCTGATGCGTTGCAGTTTGATTGTAACTCTGATTAATGATCAATAAAGCTCCTCAAGTCTCAACAAAATAAAAATAAAAGTCATTGGTCTTAGCCAGATTTTGCTGTTTTTTTCTTATGAAAACAATGTTTGGAACAAAGATGTACCATGGCTTGCTCTAAGCATTTTGGCCAAGTTTCATTCTGATTGAAAGAAAGTGATTAGTCGATGATTCTATGAAAACAATGTTTGGAACAAAGATGTACCATGGCTTGCTCTAAGTATTTTGGCCAAGTTTCATTCTGATTGAAAGAAAGTGATTAGTCGATGATTCAACCATATACCGTTCTGATTTCCATATACACTGATGGGAAATCAAGCGCAGCTTTGTTGCCCATGGGGAGAAAAATTGAAGGATCCTTTTGGTAGAGAGCTCATCTTAAGCTAATTCCACTGTACAAGGAAGTGGCAACATGTCAAGTGGGCTCTGGGCAGACAGTGATCTTTTGGAAGGACAACTGGACACTGGAGTGGTCAATCTCTGGCTGTGCAATACCCTGAGCTCCACTCCTTTGCCATCAAGGACAAATATTACTTTGGCAGAAATGTCCACTCAGCAAGAATTGTCAAATCAATTCCACAGACCACTCTCCAATCAGGCCTTGACACAGTTCAACATGCTGGCTGCCACTATGAACCAACTTAATCTCTCTGCAGCATCTGACAGTTGGTCTAAGTCAAGGACTACTCCAAGAAAATGTATATGCACCTTATGGGCATGCCTAACTCTCACTGTTTTTTCAAACAGCTCTGGAAATGTGCAGGAAGAATTAAACACATTTTTTTCTTTTGGCTGGCTTTATATGACAGAGTGAACACAAGAGGACTGCTCAAACAAAAATCGTTCTTCGTCAGCTCATATAACCATGTCTTGTGCAATGATAACTGTGAGGAAACCATCCATCATTTACTTTGGGACTGCGATTTTGCACAACAATGCTGCTTTTCAATCTCCCCAAGCAGAACAGAGGAATTTTTCTTTGATGAAGTTCTGCTCCTCAACCACACATTACCCAAGGAATTGCCATGGACATCACTGCCCTAGGATGCTGGAACATGGATGCAGAGGAATGTGAAATTTTTCAAAAATGAAGTGCCAAGCCCTCTTCCTAGAAGTTTGAGCTCATACAATCTGCTAGTGGATTGGTTCCACGATTTGACTAGTAGAACTCTGAACTTTAGCTTTTCATGTTAGAAAAAGCTACTAGCATTGGGCAGATGCAGATTTCTATCTGCTTGTAAATTTTAACTTTGTACATATTTTATTTAAACTGAAAATACTGTAGAACTGTTTCAGGTTCAAAATAATAATAACCATGTGTGTAGCAATTTCGATACAGGCGTGTACTACTGCTCCATTAACTTCGAATGAGGTAATTGTACCGTCACTGGACCATTTCTTTTTTTGGGGTTCACCAATGCAGTGGAACTATTTTATTTCCAGACGAGAACACACCACTCCCATTCCCATACACATATACTCCGTACGTCCGACTCTGGAGGAGTTCAACAATTAGCTGACCAGGCAGGTGTCCGTTTATATCAGGTTCGTTAAAGAATTATGGTAAGTAGCAGCTCTCCAAAGTTTCTCAATATTTGATAGCCGAAGCCACACAATTACAACAACCAGACCCTTAGAAATATGCGTTGCGTTTTCAGAGTCAAAACCAAGACCTCCACAGGAGACAGGCTAATGGAAAATATACAGGGGAGAAGTGAAATTGCTAGTGTCGGATGGACATTTGGAGATCGACAGCAAAACCCTCCACACCTGAAATGGCATGGCTAACTTCCCCAGTACTCCCACTTTATTCAGAGCATTTCCTGGGATTTCCGTACAGCGCGCCTGACCTTCTTCTTGAACTCATCCTGCTTCTCTCTCCAGTCCTTCTGCACAAGAAACATCCATTAGGAAGTGCAAAAGGGTACTATAGCGATAACTTTCCATTCAGCAAAAAGACAGCTCAAATTACAAATATTGCAAGGTTAGCATAAGACAGTGAAGAGCTGGCTGCAAGAGTATCTCATGGAACCTTTAGGCCTAGTTTGGTAGCAAGGGATCACCCCAGGATCCCCGTCATTTGCCTGGGTGGGAAGAGCACGAGTTAATTTAGCCCCGGTCTTTACGCAGGCCCGACCCACCCCAATTCCCTGGCTAGGAAACCCTTGCCTC